GAAAATTCGTTCAGTGTAGGTCTCTCCGTGTTAATAAAGTCATGAAAATGCGTACATTATAAGTCTCTCCGTGTTAATAAAGTCATAACAATTCGTACATTATAGGTCTCTCCGTGTTAATAGTCATGAGAATTCGTACATTATAGGTCTCTCCGTGTTAATAGTCATGAAAATTCGTACATTATACGTCTCTCCGTGTTAATAAAATCATGAAAATTCGTACCATTATAGGTCTCTCCGTGTTAATAAAGTCATGAAAATTCGTACATTATTGGTCTCTCCGTGTTAATAGTCATGAAAATTCGTACATTATTGGTCTCTCCGTGTTAATAAAGTCATGAAAATTCGTACCATTATAGGTCTCTCCGTGTTAATAAAGTCATGAAAATTTGTATATTATAGGTCTCTTCATGTTAATAAAGTTATGAAAATTCGTACATTATAGTTCATCCGTGTTAATAGTCATGAAAATTCGTACCATTATAGGTCTCTCCGTGTTAATAAAGTCATGAAAATTCGTACATTATTGGTCTCTCCGTGTTAATAAAGTCATGAAAAATCGTACCATTATAAGTCTCTCCGTGTTAATAAAGTCATGAAAATGCGTACAGTGTAGGTCTCTCCGTGTTAATAAAGTCATGAAAATTCGTACACTGTAGGTCTCTCCGTGCTAATAGTCATGAAAATTCGTACATTATAGGTCTCTCCTGTTAATAAAGTCATGAAAATTCGTACATTATTGGTCTCTCCGTGTTAATAAAGTCATGAAAATTCGTACCATTATAGGTCTCTCCATGTTAATAAAGTCATGAAAATTCGTACCATTATTGGTCTCTCCGTGTTAATAAAGTCATGAAAATTCATACAGTGTAGGTCTCTCCGTGTTAATAAAGTCATGAAAATTCGTACCATTATAGGTCTCTCCATGTTAATAAAGTCATGAAAATTCGTACATTATAGGTCTCTCCGTGTTAATAAAGTCATGAAAATTCGTACATTATTGGTTTCTCCGTGTTAATAAAGTCACTCTAAAAAGCTCTAACTACACTTAAGTCTTTGATTTTCCTAATTCTATGCAGGGGCGGATTAAAATGAGGGCTATGGAGCTGTAGCCCCATACCCGGATTCAAATAAGGCCCGGTATGAGATTTAGTATTTTTATCTCAATCTTTAGTCGAGATCATAATATGCCCAATAGACAAATTTAGCCCCAGACCCGTTTGATCTTTAAAATGCCTCTACAAGGCCCGGTACGAGATTTAGTATTTTTATCTCAATCTTTGGTCGAGATCATAATATGCCCAATAGACAAATTTAGCCCCAGACCCGTTTGATGTTTAAAATGCCTCTACAAGGCCCGGTATGAGATTTAGTATTTTTATCTCAATCTTTAGTCGAGATCATAATATGCCCAATAGACAAATATAGCCCCAGACCCGTCTGATCTTTAAAATGCCTCTACTTCTATGAAGAAAAAACAAATGGATAAAACCTGAAATACAAACAAATGTTTAAAATCGCAATAAAGGGAAAACAAACCAGCAGTCAACGTTTCAGACGAAAGGACCATAAACAAGGATATACACAATTAGTTACTACTAATACTCCACACATAATCTGGAGCAATTACTAACGTTTTGACTATTTACTCACTGCTTGCATTCCAGTGCGCATGAGTAACAGTTGAACATAAATCCCTCTTAACTTAACAAAGTTAAGATTTCTCTGGACCGAAGAAATGTAAGTAAACAAAAAAAAACTTCGTGTATCAACACAAGTAATGATCATTTCACCTACTTAACGACATGGATCACAAAGTTGGTGATCATTAAACCTAGCCAGACCGAGGCAGTGGTTAGCGGGTAGGAGGTTCGCGCCCCGTTAAAAGATATTAAAAATTACGCTCCGTACTGACGGTTAAACCCTACGATTCGACTAGAGTAGGTCACAAGTTTGCAACAGGTGGTGTCTTATCACTTCAAAATTAAGGACGACTAGCACAGGTAACCGTCGAGTAGCTTATGTACGGATTCAAGAAACAACTCTTTAAAAACAGTCAGTTCGCTCTTGTCAACTAATCCTTGGATGCTAAACATTCATCAAGATCCACAGTGATGAAAGTCACTGGTTACAGATAACAAAATACTTCCAACTTTGTCACTAGCTGACAATCACACTACACAGCAAAGGCCAACCTGTAACCACAGTACCCCTGTTGCGTTATGAACGATACTTTCATGAACAGTGCTGGTTAAATTATTTGCTATATCTACTTTTGTTATAG